CTGCCTCTGGGGGTGGTGTGCTTGGTGCTTCGGAGGTCGACTCTGGGGCTGCCGCTGCCCCGGACACTACTCCTTCCCCCCACCCCTACCCGACCAGGTTCCAGGCTCGTGTTCGCCGTGCTCGTGAGGAGCAGCTGGAGTTGGAGAGAGAGGAGAGAGAGTTGCAGCGGCTCGAGGAGCAGGAGCGACAGCAGCAGGGGCAGCAGCCGCTGGAGCAGCAGCAGCCGCAGCAGCCGCAGCAGCAGCAGCTGCCGTCTCCTCCTCCTGTCTCGGGTCTTCGGACCCTTGGTCTCCCCTCTCCCTCTCCTTCCTCCTCCCCCTCTCCTCCCGTCTCTGGTCCTTCGCTTCCTCCTCCTGACCCCTCTCCCGCTGTTTTCCCTCGTTCTCAGTCTTCGTTGTCCCCTCCTTCTTCTCAGACTTGGGCCTCTCGTCGCTCCCCTCGTGCTCGTCCCTCGTCTCCTGTTCCCTTCACTGACCTTCGTACTGCCTTACTTCGTTCTAGTCCACCTCGTCCGTCTCCGTCTGTGCTTCCGTCTCCTCCTGAGTCGGCTCTCACTGCGTCGCTCCCTACTCCTGTCACAGACTACTACCGCACGTACCGTCCTCTTCTCTCTCGTGTTCTCGCCTCGCTTGTTACTCACCCTCGTGCCTCTGTGTCCTCTGTGTCCGCTCTTACTGCCGCAGTCACTGACTTTGCCTCTACCCGCCGCCTTGACTTCGCCACCGCTCTTGTGGCTGCTCCTCCTTCCAGTCCTCTGGCCGTCGGGGGTGTGTCTGCCCTTGGCTGTGACGCCCTAGAGGACAGGCAGTTTGAGCTAGAGTTCCTGGCCGCCGCTTCCCCTCATCTCTGTGCCATGCTCCTCGCCCCTGAGGGTGACCCCGACGCCCTTGACATTCCGACTCCTCGCACTTACGCTGAGGCAGTGTCAGGGCCTTGGGCCTCTCAGTGGAGAGCTGCCATGGACGCAGAGATGGCCTCCTACAGATCCACAGGCACCTACGTCGATGAGGTTCCCCCTCCGGGGGCGAACGTAGTCGACGGCATGTGGATCTACAGGGTGAAGCGGCCACCGGGATCTCCTCCGGTCTTCAAGGCACGCTACGTGGCTAGAGGTTTCAGTCAGCGCGAGGGAGTTGACTTCTTTCAGACCTTCGCGCCCACCCCGAAGATGACCACTCTTCGGGTGTTACTACACGTAGCAGCACAGAGAGACTACGAGTTACACTCTCTTGACTTCTCTACTGCTTTCCTTCAGGGCAGTCTTCACGAGGAGGTCTGGTTGCGTCGTCCCTCTGCCTTCACTGGCTCTTTCCCTCCTGGGACCCAGTGGAGGCTGAGGCGACCGGTTTACGGTCTTCGTCAGGCTCCTCGTGAGTGGCACGACACCCTGCGTTCTACCCTGTCTGACCTTGGGTTCCAGCCGTCTTCTGCTGACCCGTCGCTGTTCGTTCGTCGTGGCCCCACACCTTTCTTTGTTCTGGTCTACGTTGACGACCTTGTTTTCGCCACCCCTGACAGGGTTGCTTTGGCACACGTGAAGTCCGAACTGCAGAAGAGACACACCTGCACTGATCTTGGTGAGCTGCGCCACTACCTTGGCCTGCAGATCACCAGGGACAGAGCTGCTTGCACCATTACACTTTCACAGTCGCACATGGTGCAGCAGGTCCTTCAGCGGTTCGGGCTTCAGCACTCCACAGTACAGCGCACACCTCTTGCTGTTGACCACAGACTCACTGGACCCTTTCCTGACGAGCCGTTCGAGCCTAGTGGTCCCTACGCAGAGCTTGTGGGTTGCCTCATGTACCTGATGACTTGTACTCGCCCGGACCTCGCCTTCCCTCTCAGCGTTCTTGCGCGCTTTGTTGCGCCAGGGAGACACCGTCCTGTTCACTGGACAGCAGCTGTGAGGGTGGCGAAGTACCTAGCGACGACGTCAGGCGTGGGGCTAGTTCTTGGAGGGCAGCAGTCTGTCGTACTTACTGGTCACTGTGACTCCTCTTACGCTGACGACGCTGAGACTCACAGGTCTACTCAGGGGTACTGTTTCAGCCTGGGTTCTGGAGCTGTTTCCTGGCGGTCCACGCGCTCCTCTTCGGTCTCGACCTCTACAGCTGAGGCTGAGATCTACGCTGGTGCCATGGCGGCACAGGAGCTGCGTTGGTTGACCTTCTTGCTCACTGACCTTGGTGAGCGGCCGAGCTCTGCACCGACCTTGTTCACTGACAACAAGGCGTCTATTCTCCTTTGTCGAGAGCCACGACTGGAGAGCAGAGTGAAGCACATTCACGTCAGGTACTTTCTTCTGCGAGAGTTGCAGAGGCGTGGACAGGCTCGCTTTGAGTTTGTGGAGTCCGAGGCCAACACTGCAGACATCTTCACCAAGGCGCTTCCGCCTTGTGACCACCAGAGGTGCTGTGTGCAGTTAGGCCTTGTTGACACTGGTTCTCGTGTTGCTTAGGCTTGAGTGTACTGTTTACTTTGCTTTCTATATACCTCTGTTACTTCTTGGACTGGCCTTGTGGCCACTGTTGTTTGTGCTCAGACTGTGTGGTGACGTTGTGATCCACCCTGAGCTTCGTTTCTTGGACTGGTCTTGTGACCGTACTCGTTTGGTTCTGCTAGACACCCCTCACTTAGGCTATGGGGGTGTGTCAAATGTTGTAGCCTATAGTGAGGTTTGTCTTAGGGGGTACAAAACTTAGGGTTAGCTATATGTACCCCAACCAACATCAATGCATCATCCATTCCTCATTTTGACAATAATTTCAAAGGCGTGAAAACTACTAGATCCAGATTGCGGGCAGAAAGACGCAGAATGGATGGGTTCATACGGGCAGAAAGACGTCGTAGATAGAATGGATCGATTCATATGCTACTACTGGTGAGCATTTGAAACTGCGCACCCTTCCACGCATCAAGAGTGGACGAGTAGTGCAAAACTAATGGACTCGCGCAAAACTAATAAGCTATATGTATACCCCACCCAGTGAGCTAGGCTAGGCACATAGTAGCGACTGGCCGTAGATTCGGGACGTTACACAACCAAACCAGATCAGCAGGTTAACAACATGCGAACGCGACAGACAGCCCCGGAAACAGTGCAATATGGTGTACCGTCATCGCCCGGATATAAGACATATATGTCTTATCTCGTACACGGGCAAAAATGCTTGAGTTATCTTGTAAACGGGATGCTTTAGGGTGTCTTATAAATCTTATAAATGGAAACTTTTTAAACTACTTAGAAATATTTTCCGTACTTCTTGAAAAAAGGTTCCTCATAATGAGTGTGGATGTTGCGAAGGTGCCACTTCGGCAACCACTGGCCGAGACGACACGCCATGGAGAACACCTGCAGAGGCAAATTTGGTAGGTCCTGGGTCAGCGCGTGGAGAAATTCGCGCTTCGCAAGGGTAAAAATGTACGCGTTATTTCAACTTTCGCTATAATATATTGAAGTTTCGATTATAAGACATATATGTCTTATCTCGTACACACAAATAGGTGTCTTATAATGAGGCTAGCCTGTTTATAAGAGACACCCGTATAGTAGACAACCCCTGTCTACTATTCAACACTGTCTTATATCCGGGCGTTTACGGTAGATAGCTTGCACTGTAGCATAAGTCCGGTGCAGTGCTGCAGTGCGGTGCGGTAGGTGCGGTGTGCAGCTCTAGGGCTGTTGCAGGAACTTTGGATGGGTATGCTGCATGTCCTGTTAGAAGGCGATTACGGCAAAGACCAAAGTGAAAAGTGGCCGTGAGGTGGAGGTTGAAGGAGAAGAGGGAAGAGAAGAGGGAAGAGAAGAGGGAAGAGAAGAGGGAAGAGAAGAGGGAAGAGAGGAGGGAAGAGAAGAGGGAAGAGAGGAGGGAAGAGAAGAGGAAAGAGAGGACGAGCGAGGAGGGAGGAGCGGGAGGAGGAAAGCGAGGAGTGGGAATAGAAAAGGGAAGAGTGGGAGGAGTGGGAAGAGCGGGAGGAGTGGGGAGAGCGGAGAGAAGTGGGAGAGGAGAGCGAGGGCATGGGAGAGAGGGCAAAAGGATGGCTGCGGGCCAGGCTGGTAGAATCCTAGGAGCATCATCTGGTGGTAGCTACATCTGGTGTCCGGGCATGAGAACAGCAGCGGAGGGTGGGGGATGGGAGGGAAGAGGGGTAGGCAGAAATTGGAACAAAGAATAGACAGATGTGAGAGGATCTGCAGCAATGGCCGCAAGCAACACACGCAGTGAGGAGCAGAGAGCGGAGACGAATTAACAGCGAGACATGAGACAACTTTTGAGGCGCCTCAAATGTCGTCACACAAATGAGGAGTAGTCAGCAGAAACGAATGAACAGAATTAGGGGCTTAAAACGAAAGGAAGAGGACAGGCGGGTGGAGGGGGGGGAGGGGGGGGAGTTGAAGGGGGAAGGGGGAAAGGGGGGTAAGGCAGAAAGGTGGGAATAAGCTAGGATTAAGAGAGAAGCCAGAGAACAGCAAGAAGGAAGCAAAATGGGAAGAGGCACGACGAGTAGGGTCGATAGGAACATACCTGGTAACCACCGGGAGGCATCATCTGGAGGAGGGGAAACGGAGGAGGGGAGAGGCAAAAGGGGAGAGGCAAAGGAATGAGAAACAAAGGGAGCCCTCACCACAAGCCCTCACCACAAGCCCTCACCACAAGCCCTCACCACAAGCCCTCACCACAAGCCCTCACCACAAGCCCTCACCACAAGCCCTCACCACAAGCCCTAACCACAAGCCCTCACCACAAGCCCTCACCACAAGCCCTCACCACAAGCCCTCACCACAAGCAATTGTCTCCCCACCTCCCTTTTCCATCTCATCCCCTCACCCCCACTAGCACAACAAAACCCTTCCCCTTCCACCAGATAACCACCTCTCCCCCCCCCCCCCCCCCCTCCCACCTCCCCTCCCCTTCCACGTGCAGCGCATCCCTCCCCGTCGCCCGTCCTCTTTCTGCAAGCTTCCTTCCCCTCCCCTGAGGCATGAGCAACGCACCTGCGGCTGCATGTAGGGAACTGTGCCCCCTGATGGGTATGCTGATGATGATGGCATCTGGCATGCCATGGGAGGGACGGGGGAGAGAGGAGGGAGGGAGGGAGAGAGGAGGGGGAGAGAGGAGGGAGGGAGAGGAGAGGAGAGGGAGGAGAGAGGAGGAGGGAGGAGAGAGGGAGGAGAGAGGAGGGAGGGAGGAGAGAGGAGATAGGAGAGAGGAGGGAGAGGAGGGAGGGAGGAGAGAGGAGGAGAGGGAGGAGAGAGGAGGAGGAGAGGAGGGAGGAGAGGAGGGAGGGAGGAGGAGGAGGGAGGAGAGAGGAGGGAGGGAGAGGAGGGAGAGAGAGGAGGGGAGAGAGGAGGGAGGGAGGAGGAGGAGAGAGGAGAGGAGAGGAGAGAGAGGAGAGCGAGGGAGGAGGGAGAGGAGGGAGGAGAGAGGAGGGAGGAGAGAGGAGGAAGGAGAGGGAGGAGAGAGGGAGGAGGGAGGAGAGAGGAGGAGAGAGGAGGAGGGGGAGCGAGAGGGAGAGAGAGGAGGGAGGGGAGGAGCGAGGAGGGAGGAGAGAGGGAGGAGAGAGAGGGGGGCGGAGAGAGAGAGGAGTGGGAGAAAGGGAGGGAGGAGAGGAGGGATGAGAGAGGGAGAAGAGAGGAGGGGGGCGACGAGAGGAGGGAGGAGGGAGAGGGAGGGAGGAGAGGAGAGGAGAGAGGAGGGAGGAGAGAGGAGGATGAGATCGGGAGGAGAGGAGGGAGGCGAGAGGGAGGAGAGAGGAGGAGGAGGAGAGTGGAGGGAGGAGAGAGGGAGAGAGGAGGGAGGGAGAGTGGAGGGAGGAGAGGGAGGAAGAGGAGGAGGAGAGAGGGAGGGAGGAGGAGAGAGGGGAGGAGGGGGAGGAGAGAGGGGAGGGAGAGGAGCGCGAGGAGAGTGGAGGGAGGAGGAGAGAGGGAAGAGAGGGGAGGGATGAGAAAGGGATAAGAGAGGAGGGAGGAGAGTGGAGGGAGGAGGGAGAAGGAGAGTGGAGAGAGGAGGGCAGAGGGAGGAGTGGGGGAGGGAAGGGAGGAATAGGGGAGGGAAGAGGGAGGGAGGAGTGGGGGCGAAAAAAAGGGAGGGAGGAGAAAGCAGGGAAGGTACCACTGAGGATTATAGCGATTGCTAAGACAAGTCGCAACAAGGCTTGGCATAAAACCCAAACACTTGCTCACACAGGTGTGTGCACAGGTGTGAACTCACGTGAGTGTGCACGTCAGTGCGCACGTGTGATGTTTGTGAGTCTCAAAACCCTGTCTGTGTCTCCGTGCATGTGCATGTGTATGTGTGAGTGAGGCACAACGTTGAAGAGTCAAGAACCAACATGAGAACTCCCCAGTGCCACCAAAACAACCAGAGCTGATCGGTACCTGCCTGGGCATTAGGTTTGGGACCTGCGCAATGGCTGCCTCTGACTGTGCATTACTGCGCTGGGCACAGCAATACGAGGGCCCCAACACGCTTTACTGTGCTGGGAGCAGCAATAGGAGAAGCACGAACCTGCTTTACTGCGCTGGGATGGGATTTACAATTTACAATTTACCTGTGCGTTGGATTGGGAAGCGAGGAGGGTAGCGATGCCTGCTGCGCTGACCCTCCTGGGGCTGGCTGGGGCTTGCCGTCCTTGGTTGCTCCCTCGCCCTGGTTGGTCGTGACCACCAGCGCACCACCACACCACACCACACCACACCACACCACACCACATCGCACCACAAAACACCACACTAGGGCAGGGCAGGGCAACCCCCCATACACAACCCCCTCCCCCCCCCCCCAAAACACAAACACGGACGGATAAGCAAAGAGGCATAGAGTGAGCGACCACTCTTGCTGGCACGTCCAACAACGCGCAGCAACGGTGGAGCAGAGGAAGGAAGCAGAAGCAGCAACTTGAAAAAAGGAAGGCGATTTAGCGGAAAGGGCAGAAACAGAACGTAAAAGAGCAGAGAGACAAGGTGCACGGGCATGGAGGGGCGAGGAAGGGAGAGGTGGGAGAGGGAAGGGGGAATGGGACTGACGAGTGGAAACACGGAAACGAAAAAGGGGAAGAAGCAATTGCCGGGATTGGAGGGGAAACGGGGTGGGGATCGGGGGAAGGAAAAGAGAATCACGGCGGCTGAGGCGTAGAGGGAGGGAAGAATGAGGCGGAGGGTCGGATGAGATGCGTTGGGATGCGATGCGATGCGATGGGATGGGATGAGTTGCGTACCTCAGTCTGCATAGAACAGGCAGGTCACAGCAGCGGACGATGCACCGTTGACAAGGATGCACAAAGTTTGCGACGGGCGAGATGGAGAGATGGCGAAACCGCAGCCAAGAGCCAAAGATCAGTAGAGAGAAACAGGAGGGGGGGGGGAAGAGGGGAGCAGGAGAGGAAAGGAGATGGGGAGGAAAAAGGGAGAGGGATTTTGGGTGAGAGAGGTGAAACATGGAAGGGGAAGGAAGAGAGTGGGACGGTAGAGAGGGGAGAAGGGGATGAAAACGATCTGAGAAACACGACCATGAGAGACCCATGCAAGGGAGAATTTTGTAGTGTGAACTCCTAAGAAACAGCTCGAAGTAGCGAAGCAAAAAGGCCTCTGAACGGTACACTCATGCACCGTATTCACCCAACGGTCCCCCAGAGTGATATTTCAGCTGCCGTTTCGGCGCAAGAAACGGGGGAGATGAGGAACGGGCGTGGAGGGCGGCGGGAGATAGGCCGGGCAGGGAGGGAAGGCAAAAATATGAAGGAACGGGGGTCCGGAAATTTCATACAAAAAAAAAAAAAGACGTGCCTCCCGCCTGCACCTCTCGCTCCCTGTCCCCCTCCCTTCCCCACCACTCCTCCCCCCTTTCCCCTTCTCCTTCTTCGCAAGTCCAGCCCATCATACCGCTCCCGTCAGCCCGCTCCCTCCCTCACTCCCGCTCTTTTAACATTCTGACGCCCTCCCACCCTGTCCCTTGCTCTCTCGTCTCACCCTACCTCACCCTCCTTCCGTTCTCCTACTCGCTTGTTCGATGCTCCCTTTTCTTCCTACCCGCCCCTCCTCTTGCTGTTTTCTAAAGAGACCAGAGCAACGAATACTGAGTCGCAGCGCACCTCGCGGTATCTGTGCAAGTACACTTTAAGCGGCTCCACGTAGTCTTCGAATCCCAGCGTGCTCATCGCCCACAGCAAATCGTCGCCGTTGATCGTCTTGCGCTTCTCACGCTGGCACTTGTCGCTCGCCCTGGTCGGAAAGGTCAAGGGAGGGAAGTAGGGAGAGAAGGAGAGAGCGAAGGGGCACAGACGAAGAGAGGACGGAAGCGATGCAGTGTTTGTCTATTTGCTTGCTGGTTTGTTTTTTGGGGAAAAGGGGGGGAAAGGAAAAAAATAAAGAACCGTGATGGCATGGCCCAACGCTTCTGAAGCGTTCAGAGGAAGCAAAAAGGAGGGAGAGGTCGAACGGAAGGGAGCGAGTAAAACGAGCGAAGGGACGAGCGACGGTACATTGCTAGGCGAGTGGACCGGGAAGAATGGTGAGAACCACAATAACTGTGGCCAAACGTATGGTATCAAAGCTTGGGAAGTAAACGATGAAAAAAACACCGGAACCATATGGAAAAGGAAAGGCTAAAGAGAGGAAAGTGGGCAGAAAGTGGGGGGCGAGGGGGTGCGCGGAGAGATGTTGGGGGAGAGGAGAGACGGGGAAAGGAGGCGACGCGGGGGGGAGAGGGGAAGACGGGAACGGCCAAGAGAAAAAAAGAGACGCCAACGACAGGAGAGAGGGACATACTCGCTAGTAATAAAGCTGATGAACTAAATACGACTTTGCAGACGACTATATAGTTAACTTAACACACAACCGGGAGGCACGTACTCGCTGGTGATAAAGCTGATGAACTCGGAAACGCACTCCTGAACCGTCTCCTTGGCGTCTTTCGCGATCTTGGCGTTCTGCGGCAGCGCCTTCTTCATAATCCGACTAATATTCGCGATAGGCAGGAACCGATCCTGCTCTCGAACCGACGATGACCCTCCCTCGCCGCCGCCATGTCCGACGTTCCTCCCTCGACATCCTCGGGGTTGCTCTCCGGGGACCCTGGCTCGTCCGGCATCGCGACGTGGAGTTAACTCGCTGGTTTGGTGTAGGTGACGCGGGTTGGGTTCACGCGCGCGGTGATTTAGCGCGCGTCGACACGGCGAAGGGAACGGCGCTGGGTATGGACGGCGTGGATAACGACGCGTCACGGGCCCCGTGATATGGAGGAAGAGGAGTGAACTCGGCGCAGGTGGCGACGAGAACGATCTGGGAAAGGAAACGAAACATGGCAACGCAGGATAAAACGAGATTCTTAGAAGGGGTCAGAAGGGTCTGGCTTGTTGCAGGTCCCTGTAGAACTTACAAAGAATGAAGTTAGTTAGTGAAACAGGCATAAGACAGGCTTCTCCTCCGGTTGACATCAAAGATATTGAAGTTGAAGGGAGAAAAGGAAGAGCGGAGTCTAGCACAAGACGGATGGAACATATGGCGGGAAACATAAAAGGCGAGCAGGAAACAAGAGAGGAGCCGCCATGACGAGAACGCCGTTTTGAGTGGGCATATCATAGTGGCCTCAGCTTACCGGATATTCCAGACCAATCCGGCGCGACCTTGTAGAAGCTTGTATTAGAATATCTGCGCTGAGCTAATAGCTCCGGGCGGAACCTAAGCGACAACTAGAATCCTGGCAACTAGTGTGCGCAAAGAGTGCCCGTGTCGTCCAATTAGAAACCCTAGGAGCTGTTTTGTGGAAGAATTGTTGTGAGGGTGGATTATGCGGTGGAGTGAGATGAGTTACGTGCCGGAGTGGCGCATTCAGATTTTGGAACGTTCAGGCAGGGTTCTGAGCGATGCGTTGCCACCTTTGTTCTATCACAGCGGTGGATTATGAGTCATGGTAACCATTTGTACTGTACGATCTCCTAACCCTAACCTGGCGCTCGCGAAAAGGCTCGCGCGAAAAGCCTCGCGAAAAGGCTCGCGCGAAAAGGCTCGCGCGAAAAGGCTCGCATTGGACTCTGTTTGGTTGACCAATCGAAGAATGTTCCGTGACCGCTATTGGACTTGCCGGAAGCAGTGGTTGGCGGGGAATGCGCGCCTGGGCGGGAGGCCGGGGAAAGGCGGGTGTATGGCGTGCAGAGGTTGGGGCGAGCGGAGCGGAGTCAAACAATGGCGTGGCGTGAATGGGCAGAGGAGGAAGCTTGGTGAGGCGAGTCGAGGAAATCTGACACCCGCAGATCTGGGGCAGTGGGGAGATTTTTCCGTCAGGAACTGACTGACAGAGCCAAACATGCAACTGGCAGGGCAGGGTGACGCTGCTACTGTGCACTGCGCATGTGCCAACCAATTCGAACGTTCGAAATGCACCCTCAAACAAGCTGTCCCGTAAACTTATATAAGTCCCTTTACTTTTGATGAGCATCATGTCTGCTGATGCCACACGTTATGTACATTATATAAAAATACATGTGAATCGCTAAGTAGAATTGTATAGCACATTATTACACGTTGAACGATGAACAATGCATGCTCTGTAGTTTTGGTTACGTTGCAGGGGTAAAAATCAGCAGAAATTCCTCATCCAAGCGATCTTAACTACTCAGTGGGGAAACGGCAATGACTAAAACGTGAGGAGATCTGTGTGAGTTGAGTCTTTGAGCTTAGTTTGGCTCCTTGTGTAGAAACACGTCCCTTCCTCCTGCCACAGGTTTCTTGAAGCTTCTCTCGGCCCGCGGGTTTCTAACTTTACATGGAGCTGGTTTGAGGCGCGGGTGCCCACCAGAAGGACACGGGGCAGCTGGGGCGTGTGGCCTTGACGTAGTGCCAGTAGCAGCCGGCGCACACATGCCACAGAGAGAGAAAATTTGCCACCAGCAGAAGCCGCCATGACAGCCATGACACAGAGGCTATCTGGAGCTGATCCCCCCCGTGGTTTTGACGTAGTGCCTGCCGGTGACGCGGCGGGCTGTAGAGAAGATCGCCGGGGGAGAGCAGCACGTGCTGTGAGACATCTCAACTCAATCCTTGGAGCTGCTAACACCCGTGGGTTTCCACCAGAAGGACACGGAGCAGCTGGGGCGCGTGGCCTTGACGTAGTGCCAGTAGCGCGGCGGGATGTAGAGCAGATCGCCGGGGGAGAGCAGCACGTCCCAGAAGGGCGCAAGGGGAATGAGGGGGAAGGCTGTGAGGTCAGGCGCGTCTAGATCCACCTGATGGGGGGATTGGGGGAGAGGGGGTGTGGGTGGGGGGGAGGGGAAGGAGGGGTATGAGGGGGATGGTGGAAATGGGAGGAAGAGAGAAGCGAGGGGGAAGGCTGTGAGGTCAGGCGCGTCTAGATCCACCTGATGGATTGGAGGGTGGGGGGAGGGGATGCGGAACAGGGGACAGGGGATATGGGCTCTTCTTTAGGGGGGGCATGGGGACCCGAAAAACTGTTGGAGTCATGACTGGGAATTCTCAAAAAAGGAGATAACTGAAGTATTATCTAGTATCATCTAGTATCACCTCCATACCTGGCTGGAGTTGCAGAGCATCTTCTCCTTGTGTGGGTACAGCCGAGCATCCTCTGTGCTGCTGTACACACGCATGTACTTGCTGCCCACAACCTGGGGAGAACACAGGGGCAGAAGGAAGACAGGGAGACAGCACACTCAACTCGATAGTCCCCTCTAGACTCTAGTGCTGTATGCACGCTCGTATTAGCTGCCCACGACTTGGAGAGAGCACACACAGGCAGCAGAAAGACAGGGAGACAGCTCACTCAGAGGGAATGGGGTGTAGCAGCAGTGTGCACATGGATAGTGCATGGTGCATGGTGCATGGTGCATGGTGCATGGTGAATGGTGCATGGTGAATGGTGCATGGTGCATGTGTGCATGGTGCATGGTGCATGGTGCATGGTGCATGGTGCATGGTGCATCATACACCACCACTACTGGGGATGACACACCAGAAAACAATGATTGTTGGGCTCTGAAAAGGAGGAAAGAAGCGCACCTGAGCAAAGAGGTTACGACATGCGTCGTGATGGAGTGTTGTCACTGTTCCTGCCGGCCCAAGCCCACACCCAAACCCAAACCCAAGCCAACACCCAAACCCAAACCCAAACCCAAGCCAACACCCAAACCCAAGCCCACACCCAAACCCAAACCCAAGCCAACACCCAAACCCAAGCCAACACCCAAACCCAAGCCCACACCCAAACCCAAACCCAAGCCAACACCCAAACCCAAGCCCACACCCAAACCCAAACCCAAACCGAACCCAAACCCAAACCGAACCCAAACCCAAGCCATGTACTACATAGAAACTGCTCCTGAGGCGAGTCAGAATCTAGGTAGGAGAGTCTCAATCCCACCTGAGCAAAGAGGTTATGGCAGGGATCATGATGCAGTGGCGTCACTGTTCCTGCCGGCCCAAACCACGCATTCACCACTGGGTCTCCCTCCTCCTCCCCCTCCTCCTCCCTGACCCCTTCCTCCCCCTCTTCCTTTCCTTGCTTTTCCTCCCCCACCATCTCCCTCTCTTCTTCCCCCTTTTTCTCCTCCTCGCTTCCACCACCTGAGCTGTCACTTTCTCTGTTGCACGTATCGCCCGAAGACCTATCACCCATGCTTGCAGTGCGAGTGGCCTCTTGCGGAGAGGTGTGAGAGGGAGGGTTCGATCCGAGAGAGTGAGAGTGGGGAGCAGGAGCGCTGAGCCAGCAGTAGGGGGGAATGTCGATGTCTGCTCGGAGAATGGGGATCTGGGAATGGAGAACAGGGGAAGAAGGGCAACAGAAGGGGAAGAGCGGAACAGGGCGTACAATGTAGCATAGACGGGTTGGGAGCGGCAGGTGCCAGATTGGCATTCAAACTAGAAAAACGGGTAGAAAGCTGCAAGCTCGGTTCGACCGACCTAACTAATCTTGAGTAGTAAAAATCACTGAGTACTAGGCGAGACACGTGTAGGTAAACGCAGTGTATTAAAGGCAGATTACAAGAGGTTCAGAAATCGATGGGTTGGGAGCGGCAGGTGCCAGATTGGCATTCGGTATCCGCGGTAAAGTGGTATCACAAAATATGCGAGGTGAGGTGGGCGATGAGACGAGGCATTCCCCTTCGATGAGACGAGGCATTCCCCTTCGATGAGACGAGGCATTCCCCTTCGATGAGACGAGGCATTCCCCTTCGATGAGACGAGGCATTCCCCTTCGATGAGACGAGGCATTCCCCTTCGATGAGACGAGGCATTCCCCTTCGATGAGACGAGGCATTCCCCTTCGATGAGACGAGGCATTCCCCTTCGATGAGACGAGGCATTCCCCTTCGATGAGACGAGGCATTCCCCTTCGATGAGACGAGGCATTCCCCTTCGATGAGACGAGGCATTCCCCTTCGATGAGACGAGGCATTCCCCTTCGATGAGACGAGGCATTCCCCTTCGATGAGACGAGGCATTCCCCTTCGATGAGACGAGGCATTCCCCTTCGATGAGACGAGGCATTCCCCTTCGATGAGACGAGGCATTCCCCTTCGATGAGACGAGGCATTCCCCTTCGATGGGACTAGGCATTCCCCTTCGATGAGACGAGGCATTCCCCTTCGATGAGACTAGGCATTCCCCTTCGATGAGACTAGGCATTCCCCTTCCTCTCTGCAGTACAACAAAAAAGCAGCTTGATGAGATCACCCAGGTGAGTCTCCATGCCGTCTAGAGAACAAAAACAGAAAAAAAAACAGACATCGAGAGACCCTTGAGAGACCCTTGAGAGACCTCGCAATATAGCTCAACGGACAAACGACTCCGCCCAGGGAGCTCGCTGCCCAGGGCAAAAAAAAAAAAAAAAAACCTCTAGGAAGGGCATGCCATCCGAGGGAGGCATCAACCCTAAACACCTTGTCGCATGTGTTTAGGGTTGATGCCTCCCTAGGATGGCATGCCATCTGATAGGATTTTAGGTTTTTTTTCGCCCGGGGCAGGTCGACGGTGGTCGACGGACCGTCAACCTCGTTTCATTGAGACATTCCCTCGAGAGACCCTGGAGAGACCCTGGAGAGACCCTGGAGAGACGCTTGAAAGACCCTTGAAAGACCCTTAAAAGACCCCCGAGAGACCCTTGAGGGACCAGGATGGCAGGACCTTACACAGCGCGTAAGTAGCAAACAGTTGACCAAGCACGGACCCACCTGTTCGAACAGTGTGTGTTGCGCTAGATACCCTATCCTCTCATCCCCGTCCTCCTCCTCCACTTGCTCCACTTTCTCTTGCTGCAATCCCGTCCGGCTCCTGCTCCCTCCTGCCTTCCCTTGATCGCCCCTGCTGCTTCTGCTTCTGCTGCTGCTGCTGCCACGTGGCACCCTAGCTCTCAGCACGTGGCAGTCAATGAAGTCAGTGAGAGTCATGAGCTCCTGGGTCCACCCCTCCGCCAGGTAGCTGCTGCCCATCTGAAGGTGCATGTGTGGTAGGGTGTGTAAGAAGGATGGGAGAGGGGGGGGGGTGCGGAAGAGTCATGAGCTCCTGAGTCCACCCCTCCACCAGGTAGCTGCTGCCCATCTGATCGGGCACTCGCAAAAGGCGAGAAGAAGGGAGGGAACGAGGGAGATTGGCGATAGGGGATGTGAGACGGGAGATTGTATACAGATCGGCACGGCAGGAAGTCTTCTTTCAGGGGCTCCTTGTCCCGCCCCTCCTTGTGTGGCTTTTGAGAATAAGAAGCCATATCCTCCTTGTGTCTCAAAAGTCACACGAATATGGCTCCTTGTCCCGACCCTCCTCTAGTTCAGTCCAGGTACCCGCTACCCATTGAATCCGACAACGAGGGAGGTGGGTAGGGCAGGGTTCAACGGATAGAGGTTGGTAGAGTGTGCGGATAGAGTCCTGTGGAGAGTCCTGCGGAGGTTGGTAGAGTGTGCGGAGTGAGTCCTGCCAACAGGGTTCAAAAGGGGCGAGAGAGAGTCCTGAGCTCCTGTCAACACCACCGGCACCCCCAGCCGCAGGTAGCTCTGCACAGACTGCACGCACCGCTGTTCCCCTGGCTCACTCACTCACTCACTCACTCACTCACTCACCTCAACAGGCACGGTGCGTGATCCAGCCATTCTCTTGAAGTACCCCCAGTTGCTCCACCGCTTGACCGGCAGCCAACCAGTGGGCAATTGCCCTGTCAGCACCACCGGCACCCCCAGCCGCATGTAGCTCTGCAGGAAGCACCTTCCCCCGCCCCCGCCCCCGCCCCCGCCCCGCCCCTGTCCGTTCTGCTCACCTCAACAGGCACAGTGCGGGATCCGGCAACGCGCTCGAAATACCCCCAGTCGCTCCACCGCTTGAGGGAAGGCCTGTGGGCGATCACTCCCAATAGCACCACCGGCACCCCCGCCGGCATGTACCTCTGCAGGAATCTTCCAAGAGAGGGGAAGTGCGCAAGTGGCATGCTCCCCTGCCCCTGCCCTTAACCCCCCGCCGTTTCCCTTCCCATGCCCCTGCTCTCTTACTCACCTCAACAGGCACGGTCCTGCCTCCAGCCACTCTCTTGAAATACCCCCAGTCGCTCCACCGCTTGAGGGCAGGCCAGTGGGCGATCACTCCTGTCAGCACCACCGGCACGCATGTAGCTCTGCAGGAATCTTTCGAGAGAGGGTAGGTGCGCGCGGGGCATGCACCCCTGCCCCTGCCCTTAACCCCCCGTTTTCCCTTCCCGTGCCCCCCCTCTCTTACTCACCTCAACAGGCACGGTCCTGCCTCCAGCCACTCTCTTGAAATACCCCCAGTCGCTCCACCGCTGCAGCGCAGGCCAGTGGGCGATCGCCCCTGTCAGCACCACCGGGACGCCCGCCCGCATGTAGCTCTGCAGGAATCTTTCGAGAGAGGGTAGGTGCGCGCGTGGCATGGGGAGGGATGTGAAGGAGTGCGGTGGGAGGGGGATAGGGGGGTCTGGGGAGGTGGTGCGGGGAGTGCGGGGGTGGTGGGGTGGGGGAGAGGGATAGTCGGATGGTTTGTGGGGTGGGGGGTTTTGTTTGCTGATGTGGTTTGTTGTGTGGGGTTGCTGCGCTCTCTCTCGCTGCTGCTGCTGCTGCTGCTGCTGCTGCTGCTGCTGCTGCTGCTGCTGCTGTTGCTGCTCGTCCTCCTCCTCACGCCGTTGCTCCTCCCTGCATTTCTCCTCCTCCCCCCATCCCCCCCGTCACCTCCCCTCCCCCCATCCCCATCTCTTCCTTCCCCCCTGTCACCCCCTGCGCTCTCCCCAACTCCCACCCTAGCCTCCATCTCCCTCACAGCAGCATTGATAGCCGCGCGGAACAAGTTACCTCCCAGCATAAGGCCCAGGTCCAGAAGCCGCAGACGGGCAGGTAGAGAGCGGTCGGTGGTGGTGGGAGCAGTGGGAGCAGCAGCATCAGCATCAGCGGCAGCAGCAGTGGTAGCAGGAAGAGGAGGAGGAGCAGGACGAGGAGGGTTAGAAGTAGCAGCAGCAGGAGCGTTAGCAGTGGCCATGGCGAGGCATGTGAGGGCGTACGCGTCGCGCCATGCCACGTGGACGTCCTTCCATGGGCCACCGTGGATGTGCTCCCATGCCAGCTCATGCACGGCCTCCAATAGCGTGTCAGCATTGGATGCACCGTCAGCATCGCCATCCCCATCAGGACTAGCATGGGTATCGCTAGGAGTAGCAGCAGCACCGCCACCAACCTCCCTCTCCCCAATCTCCCCCCTCTTTCCCCCCTCTCCCCTCTCCGCTAACCTCTCCCCCTCGTGGCTCCCTCTCCCGCACTCCCCTATCTCTCCGCTCTCCCCTTCCACCGCCTCTCTCTTCCGCCTCTTCCGCTCCCTCCCGCATCCACCCTCCCCCTCATCCCCTTCTCCGGACCAATCTCCGCCCATACCCTCCCCCCGCGTATCACCCCCTCCTTTGGCTTCCCCCGACCTCCCCAGATGTTCCCCCAGCCTCTTCTATATCCTTTCGCCTTTCCCTCCCACTTTCCCCCGCCTCTCGAGCCCCGTTCCCAGTCCGCTCGTCCGCGCAAAGACCCCACTTTGCGCGCAGAGCCTGCGCCAGCAGCGCGGCGCACGTGCGTCCCCCACACGTGCGGAGAAGGCGCAACAGCTCCCGCACGCTCTCCTCGTCCACCCGTTGCCTTAAATGCATAATCGCGGCAATACAAGGGCCAAAGTATTTAAGAGACACTATTGGCTGCGAATAGCCGCTGGCAACTTCATAGAAGTACAAGAGACAATGCGGTGCGGGATGAAAAAGATTTGATTGGGAAGAATTTGTACGCGAAGCAGGGTACATAGAATGATGCTTCGTTACTGTTTTAAAACACGAACTGGATAGTAACATCCTTACGAAAGTCGCAAAGCAAGGAGATAAGGAGCACGTCATGTTTTTCAGCGTCCCATATTAGAGCTCACCAATAGATAACGTCGTCATCTAATTCAGGTCTAATACGTATATATGTATATTCTACAAAAATTTGCAAAACGGTCTATTAGTAAATGCCAAGTACATTTTCATATTCTTGTATCGCATAGTACAGTACATCTTCATATTCTGACCAATAGGGGAGTGAGCATTTTCACATTTAACCGTACATTGTACAGCTAGCTTAAGGGCGTGTCAGATCCGTTACAAGGTGATTTGGCTGGAATGTAATGGACCATTTTTGGTCGACTATATCTTTTGCCAAGGTCGACAACATGGTCGACTTCAAAAGCGACCAATATCTGGCCACATTTACAGGGCCGAAAAATCTGACACATTTGGTGGCCGATTTGAAGGCCGTTTTGCAAACGTGTCAGATTTGCAGTTCGCCAGGGTGGCCGGATTGTGCGACGGAGTCGCAATTGCAGTAGATGTGTGACACGTTGCGTCGTATGAGTTGGCGACGTCATGTAAGGACTATAGCGATCTCAGGTCGACAAAATGGTCGACTTTCGAGTCGACGACACGTCGGAACTTTGTTGAATGCTGCACCGGCCATCAAATTTTTAACAAATGGTCGAATTTTGCGAATTTAACGATAAGTGACGAATGTCGCAAATGCGTTACCTTTGCTATTTCTAGCCGGCCGGATTTTCGACAACGAATCTGACGCACCCTAAAATCGGAGTCATCTTGTACTCGATATTACCTCATTGCCTACATGCTAATAGCTTCTCGAAGAATCACATTCATATCCAGACCTGATCTGCTCTGCTGTTGGCTTGTGCCTCCGCTCTTCCCCTGCCATTCTGCATTCCCCACCTCCCCTCCCTTCACTCTCTTCCTTCCTAACCGACCAGCGCCCATCAGAAACCAGCTTCACCCAGCAGAAAAGCCGTTTACTATTTCTGACGCGGATGGACGGGATGGGATCTGCCCGGTCTGGCGGTGTGGTGTGTGCTTCTATGGTGCCGTCTGTGGTCACTGATGATTCAGTTGCGCTCAGATCAGCCGTGCTTTACCTAGAGCCAATCGGCACCGTCTCGCTTCGCTGCTGCTCCGTAGAGCGCGCCGTCCTTGCACTAGCTGCTTTGTGTCCGATCCGATCCGACACAAGAGCCACAAGAATACGAACCACACGCCCTTCGCACTGACCCATTCATTCCGGCTATCTAATTTCTCTCCGAGAATCATTGGAGTTGTATAAGTCGGTGCGGTGCGGTACGCTTCGCAGGCGGTCGTCGCAGCGCGCGTCGTCGAAGCGGTTTTTGCGGAATCGTGGCCGTCGCTGGGCTGGTCGAGGCGATCGCTGCTTGTTCACGACGGTCGCGGAGCCAGTCGCTTGTCATCCGGCTGCTGCGAATCTCTATGAATTCGTTCTATCTGCAAGTCATTAAAAAACTACCGCACCGACGTTCAGTCAATATATAATTGTCGAAATCGACAGGAAATTGCTCGAGCGGAGATCCCCTACCTTTGCTTCAGCCTTAATTCCGTCTTCATTTCGTTGCAGCCATGGTGACCATTACTCTCCCTAACTTCTTCACCTGTTAAGAGTTTCGTTAAGCCCTTGGGTGCTCTCAGCGGCGACTCGTGGACGGCTTTGCTCGCCTGCCACAATTCGCCAATCCGTCGTTCTACTTCGCTCACCGGCCATTTCTGTTCGCCAACCAGTCGCTCCAATTCGCCAACCGGTCGTTCCAATCATTATTGTAGGCGGATTTTGAAAATTCTCACAAACTCTTCCGACGTCTTCCGCTCCTTCCGCCGACCTCTCCGATCCGCTTCCGCCATGCGGGGAGGCCAGAAGCGCCCGTCCGCCGCAGGCGGAACTCCCCGCGGGGAGACGGCGATGGGGACGCTCTTCATCCTCATCCTCCTCGCTATAGTCGGCTTCGCTGCAACGTACAGCGTGCTCTCCGCGCTCTCCCCGCCGCCGCCCTCCATTCTGGTCGACGACGATCTGCAGCTGGAGGTGAGGTGATTGGATTGTTTCATGCGTTCATGGGTGCTGGGTCACCGTGGCTCTATTCTCGAGGCTCTTCAAACATACAAGCATGCTCTTTCTCTCCCCGCCGCCGCCCTCCATCCTCGTCGACCACGACCTGCAGCTGGAGGTAGATGTTTGCCCCAATGTATCCTTTTATATCTCTTTCTATCCGGGCACCGTGAGTTCTCTTCTGGAACGCCTTATCTAGTGTCGCCTTTTTGTGTGTGTGTGTGTGTGTGTGTGTGTGTGTGTGTGGTGTGTGTGTGTGTGTGTGTGTGTGGTGTGTGTGTGTTGTGTGTGTGTGTGTGTGTGTGTGTGTGTGTGTGTGTGTGTACGTCAATTTGCGTGGACGTCAGTTTCCGCAAGTAGCGCCTTCCTCTGGCCGCCTATATTCCCAAAGTGACGAAACCGGGGGAAGCATCGTTGCCTGTTATTGCGTGTGAGCTGAGCTGGATTCTTCAACTGTTTATTGAACAGTTAAAGAATCCACTTCCCCTTCCCCCTCTCCGCCGCTCCCCCACTCTCTGCCTTCCGGCTCCCCACTCTTCCTCTCCGCCTCTCCACCGCCTACCTCTCCTCTTCCGCTTTCACCGCCAATCACCTCCACCCACCATTGCCGATTTTCCTACCTGAGGTGACCTTTGAGTTAACTCAAAGGTCACAACGCCATTCACCTCCACCCACCAGTGCCAACTTCCCCTCCCGTTCCCTCACACGTTTTGCTGCCTTCTCCTTCCCTTCTCCTTCCCTTCTCCTTCCCTTTCCCGTTACCCTTCCCCTTCCCCTTCCCCCTCCCCTCGCCTCCCTTCCCCCTTCCCCCTTTCCGTCTCCCCCTCCCTTCTCCCTTGCCTTCCCCCTTCCCCCTTCCCCTTTCCCCTTCCTTCCACCCTAACCTTCCCCCCAGGCCGCTTCCCCGGTCGACTCTGACGCGGAAGCAACCACAGGCGCGGGCGCGCAAGGGGGAGCAGCAGCACTGGCGGAGGGGGAGCGGGGGAGGGCGCGTCAGGGGGCGGCGGAGGCGGGGGGAGGATTCGCGGGATTTCTGCCGGGGGGAAGAGCATCTGGAGCTGTGGGGGGATGCGGTGAAGTGGGGGAGCAACAACCCCACTGATACTGCCGCCGCCTGCTGCCAGCAGTGCAAGTGAGCGCAGGGGGGAATGGGGGAGGGGGGAGAAGGGGAATGGGGGGGGGGGAGGGGAAACGGGGGAATGGGGTGAAGTGGGGGAGCAACAACCTTACTGATACTGCCACCGCCTGCTGCCAGCAGTGCAAGTGAGCGCAGGGGGAGGGGGGAGGGGGGAGGGGGGAGGGGGAATGGGGGGATGGGGAGGGGAGATGGGGGGATGCTGCCTGTGCCAGGAGTGGGGAGGGGTGGGGAAAAGTGGCAATGGAGGAAGGGGACAGGGGGGAGTCGCACTGGCAGGGGTGGTGGTGGCGGGTTGTGGGAAGGAGGCAGCAGCCCGTGGGAGGGATGGAGGCAATTGGAGGAATTGGGGGAGTTGGGAAAATTGGGTGAATCGAGATAACTAGGGGAAATGGGGATAGTGGAAAAAGTGGGGGAAGGGGAATGTGATTACCGCCCTTCCCTGCATTTACAACCTCCCTCCTCACTCTCTCCCTTGCTTCCTGTAGTTGTCTGTTCCCACCCCACCCCACCCCACTCCATTCCACCCCATACCACCCCACTTGACGTCCTACCCCTCCTTCGCACGCCACTCGTGGCTTGACCTTGTTCGGTCTGGTCTGACAACGCACATGCAGAGCACACGCCTTCCTCCATCCGTTGTTTTGAGGCGCAACAAAAGACATGCAGCGCACACACGCCTTCCTGTTTCCTCTCTTGTCTCATCATATCTATCTTGCGTTTTATTTGTTGCAGGTGCGTGTGTGTGTGTACATCTTTTTTTTTCTCTCTCTCCCCTTCTCTGCTCCTTAACCACTCCCTCCTTCCCCACTCCCCCTCTGCCCCATCCCCCCTCCTCCCCCTTCTCCCCTTCCCCCGTCCCCATTCCCGGCCTCCTCTTCCCCCCTTCCCCTCCCTCATCCCCTCCCTCCTCCCCTCCCTGTTTCCCTCTCTCATCGCCCCTGCGGCCTGCAGGGACATGTGTACTGGTGCGGTGTGCCAGTGCAACGCATGGGTGTACTGCGGTAACAAGGAGCTCTGCAAGGATAACTATAGGCAGGTACGAAGGTGGGAAGAGCGTGGGGTGGGAAGGGCAAGGAGGGAGAAACGAGGGGAAAAAGGGGGGAATCTGGGGGAAGGGGATGGGGTGGAGTGGCTATAGGAAGGAAGAGGGGCTAGGGGGATACGAAACAGAGGATTTTCCGAGGATTTTTCGAGGATTTTTCGAGTATTTTTTCAGGATTTTTTTCCAGCTCGTCAAGGATGGGATGGCTGGCTGGCTGTCTCCACACCTCACGGCCTGCATGCATGTAACCCACTGCTGCTTCAATTCAAATCATCCCTTCTGTTTCTTCAAGTGTGGCATCTTTCCCCCACTGCACTCATTCTTGCTCTGAGACGTTACGAGATTACAGCTCAGCTCAACTTCACACGTCACACCTCTACGTTCCCTCCCCGCCCTTCTTCTTCCCTGCAGTGCTGCCTGACGCGGAAGGAGGACGTGCTGATTGAAGCCTGAGGTCTTTGAGAAATCTCAACCCATGTTTCTTTCCTCCCTATCCATAGCCCGTATCCAAATGTTCCTCTCTATGGGGCAACATGTTTCTTTCCTTCCACATCTCCACCCACTCCCTCCCCTCTTCTCTCCCTCTTCCCCCCCTCCCTCGCCACCCCCCTCCCCAGTGCTGGCTGAAGCGGCAGGAGGACGTACCGAAGCTGGAGGGAGGTGTATGGTAACGCCAATCCCCTCCACATCTCCACCCACTCCCTCCCCACTCCCTCCCCACTCCCTCCCCACCCCCTCCCCTCTTCTCCCCCTTCTTCTCCACCCCCCTTCCCAGTGCTGGCTGAAGCGGCAGGAGGACGTGTTGAAGCCGGAGGTGTATGGTAACAACAGCACTCTCCACATCTCCGCCCACTCCCTCTCCTCAGCACTCTCCACATCTCCGCCCACTCCCTCTCCTCTTCTCTCCCTCTTCTTCCCGCCCCACACGCCAACCCCCTCCGCAGTGCTGGCTGAAGCGGCAGGAGGATGTGCTGAAGCCATAGGTGTATGGCATGGCAACAACAACCCTTTTCACAACTCTAGCCCCTCTCTCCGCCTCGTCCCCCCTCCCCTGCCCCGTGTTCTTCCCTCACCCCCCCTCGTCCCTGCAGTGCTGGCTGAAGCGGCAGGAGGACGTGTTGAAGCCGGAGGTGTACGGCAATGGCCCTGACATCCCATGGACGTCCGGACTCGTGCATGGCGCGGGCAAGGTGAGGGGAGAGAGCGGGAAGAGGGGGTTTAGAGTTAAGGGTTGGAGGGGAAAAAAGGGAGTGGAGGGAGTTGTGCGGAAGGGAAACGGGAGGGGGAAGTGGCGGGAAGGGGGGGTAGGGGGAAAGAAAAGGGAAGGGATGGGTTCGCAGGGGGTGAGAAGGGGGGGAAGGCTGGGATGGGAGGATGCGCTGAAGGCGGAGGTGTATGGCAGCAGAACAACCCGGCTGGCCCATGCATCATGTCAGGCCTCATGCATGGGGCCGGCAACGAGGTGAGTTTTGAGTCGACTCAAAAGACAAAACAACCCGGCCGGCCTATGGATGTCAACCTTCATGCATGGGGCCGGCAAGGTGAGGGGAGAAGGTGAAAGGGAAATATGTGGGTGGCCAAAAAATGGGAATGGGAGGGCCGGCCGGGTGGTACTTGCATGCGAAAGGCACAAGCGGGGGAGGGAAGTTGCGGAAACATTGTTTCGAATGGAACGTGCTGCTTTCTCATCCCTCTTCTCTCCCTCCCCTCCAACCGCTCCATCCTTTCCCCTGTCCTCCTCTCTCACCATGTGCTGCATGTGGGCGCCAACGGCAGGGTATCATAGCGTGCTCCAAATTGTGGAACCTTTGAGTCGTCCCGAAAGTCACCTCGTGTCTTCTCTCCCTTGCCCCTGTCCCCCTCTCTCTGTTTGCCGTGCATGTGGGCGGGCATCATAGCGGCTCCAAACAGGGCAACCTTTGAGTCGACTCGAAAGTCACCCCTCGTGTCCTCCCTTGCCCCTGTGTCCTTCCTTTTGCAACTATCCCTCTTCGCGCTGCATGTGCGCGCCAATGGCAGGGCATCATAGCGCTCCACACAGAGCATGGAGTCATTCGCATCAAGGTAATGCCAACCGTGCCCTCGTCCGTCCGTCCGTCCGTCCGTCCATCCCTCCCTCCATCCCTCCTCCATCCCTCCCTCCATCCATCCCTCCCTCCATCCCTCCCTCCATCCATCCCTCCCTCCATCCCTCCCTCCATCCCTCCATCCCTCCATCCATCCCTCCCTCCATCCCTCCCTCCATCCATCCCTCCCTCCCTCCCTCCCTCCATCCCTCCCTCCATCCCTCCCTCCATCCATCCCTCCCTCCATCCCTCCCTCCATCCCCCCTCCATCCCTCCCTCCCTCCATCCCTCCCTCCATCCCTCCCTTCCTCCATCCCTCCCTCCCTCCGTCCCGCCTGTCTGCCAGTCCGTCCATCCATTCATCCATCCCTCCCTCCCTCCCTCCTCCCGTTCCGTCCCCATCATTCATTCAGTGAACGATTTTTTAGAGTTCTCAAGAATTGTTCAGTTGTCATTCATGCTTGCCTGCTTCACGTTTTCTCCCTATCACTCCTTTTATTTGTCTCCTCCTCCTCCTCCTCCTCCTCCTCCTCCTCCTCCTCCTCCTCCTCCTCCTCCTCCTCCTCCTCCTCCTCCTCCTCCTCCTCCTCCTCCTCCCCCTCCTCCTCTTCCTCTTCCTCCTCCCCACTCTCTCCTGTCCTTCCCCCCTCCCTCCTCTCCCGTCTCACCATCTTCCCCACTCTGCCCCCCATCCCCTCCCCTCGTGCCCTCCCCTCGTGCCCTCCCCTCGTGCCCTCCCCGCGTAGCTCCGCCGCGCACAACCCTTTCAACTTCTCGTCTCCTCACCCCTGTGATTTATCTTTCCCATCCCTCCCATCTCCCCCTGCCCCCCCCCACACCCCCAGCTGCTGCCCTCATGGGCGCCGAAGACAGTGGGTTACATTCGATTCGAGACCTGCTTCACTCTCAACTTAACACCCCACTATCGTCCCTTCTCCCATCTCTCCCACCTTGCCCATCTCTCACATCGCTACCAACCCTTACCCAGCTGCTGCCCTCGTGGGCGCCCAAGACAGTGGGGTACATTCGAGACCTGCTGCACCTCAAGAACTGCACCGGCTGTACCACTCAACCCATCATCGCTCTCAGTCCTTTTTCTTCTCCCATCTCCCCCCCACCTGTTTGCCCCATCCCCACCCCAGCTGCTGCCCTCGTGGGCGCCCAAGACAGTGGGGTACATTCGGGAGCTGCTGCATCTCAAGTACTGCACCGGCTGCCAGCTTTACCGCGCAGAGGGGCTGGGGGAGGGGTGGAGCAAGGACGGCAGCAGGACAAGCAAGGTCAGCTCAGCACGCCACACCCTTGTCACCCCTACCTGTTTAACCCGGGTGACTGTTGAGTCGACTCAAGAGTCAGCTTACCGCACCTTGCCCTAAACCCTGCACTAGTTCGCCCTACAGATTGTCATCCCGCCCTGTTCTCGTCTTTTGTTTCTTTCCTTGCTTCTGTTGCCTGCGTCCTTACGTGCTTGCCTCTTTCTTTCTTGTTAGCAGATCCTGTGACATTCTTCAAGTGAGCAGCGATATCTAGGAGAGCAGAGCACAATGTCAGATGTTTAGGAAGTTCCTAAGCCACGCCACACGCACAAGGTTGTCAGGCGGGTGTCTGATGAGGATCGTAGAGACAGGAGACGTTTCACAGCTTCCCTTCCATTTCCCGTTCTTCTTCCCCTTCCCGTTCCCCTTCCGCTCCCCCCTCTCCAGCCCCCTGGTCCCCCCTACGCTCTCCTGCAGGGCATATTCTTAACAGACGGCCTACCCTTCAAGCCCATCCCCCGCGAATCAGCGCCCATCGTCAAACGGGGAGACGTGTGTCTGGTAGGGGAAGGCCCTGATTTCTTCATCTCTCTTGCGGATCACACCGAGTGGGGCCACGCGCACACAGTTTTCGGGCGGGTGCCCGATGAGGATCTGGACGGGCCGGTTGCGAAAATTTTGGCGCTGCCCGTGAAGCAGGAGACCTGGGGCAGCACGAAGGTATTGGCACTGGAGAATCCGGTTGGGTTTGAGGTTAAGCGGGACACGAGTGGGGTGCAGTTTTAGATTGAAGGAAGGAGCTACGGTAGAGGGGAGGGGGGTGAAGGGAGGGGCGAGAGGGAAGGGGGTGAAGAGAGAGGAGAGAAGGGAGAGGGGAAAGTGGAGAGGGAAGAGGGAAGAGGGAAGAGGAGAGGGGGGAAAGGTAGAGTGGAGAGGGAGGGGACTCAGGGAGGCGGAAAGCAAGGGGGGGGGTAGAATAGAGACTCTGGTCGACGTGTGGTGGATTAGCACACTTCGTGGCAAACGTCTCAAAGCGCGATGAATGCAAAAATTGCGTTTCATAACAAAAAAGGAAGTTTGTAGTTTCGATGTCAGCCTTTCTCGTGCTCAATATTATGTGAATGGTTTTTTTGTAATGTTCACCGAAGCGAGTGTCCCCCCTTGAATACAGGATCACATGTTCATTTTCCAGCACAATCTTTAGGGAGTGGAGAACCTTCAATATACTCCATTGGTGAAATGTCAACCTTGTTCATAAAGCTGCGAGCTAAGCAAACCTTCGCTTTTTTCCTAAACAATCACGCGCCAGCTTTTAAGGAGTTGAATCGGAATTTGGCGCGGAAAGTTTTGGAAGGGCACACATCACTGTCTCACGATATGGCTAAAATGGCAAGATTTAGCTAAACTGTGGTATATAACATAAACATAGGAGTATATATTGTTACAACCACTAATCTAATGCCCACTCACACATTCTCATTTATTTGCACATCTAAGGCGGCATTACATCACAATCAAAGGTTGAGATACGGTAGGTGCAATCGCACAAAGCATATCGACAAAAGTGTGCTGGAAAAGCTATAGTCCGTCCGCCAGCTCCAGGAAAGAGAGGCTTTATCAGTATATCGTCTCACTCAGTCTTCTTGGTTAGAAGTAAAGTCAAAGCGGGTCAACTGGGTCAAAATTGGGTGCTGGGTGGGCAGGGTGTTGTACGGTAGTGGCCCCAGAGGGTTGGCTCCTTGGCATGTTTTAGCACTACCTAGCTGGCATCTTGAACTTAGGCACTTGGGGGAAAGGAACGGAACCTTTTTAGTAACATTGCTGAGTCGATGATCGGACGGAGATGAGGAGACTGTACCGGTTAGGGCGGAGGCTGCTGCTAAAGTTCCCATTGTTTAGTCGACTCAAAGGTGACCGTGGAGTCAACGCAAAAGTCAAAATGTGCTCTCGTAAGGGTGGAGGAGGCTGCTACTGAAGGCTCCCATTCCTATTGTTCAAATTGATTCTCCTTCCACTCCCACTGCCGATGTCGCTGCTGCCTGCTCCCCATTATCGGCCTTACAGGCAATTCATTCAACCATCTTTCTGCTGCTACCTTCAGCTGCTTCTTGTATTGCATCTAAATCATCCTAACCGCAGTCAACTCCTGCCTATCTACTACCAGCAGCTTTTACCCCCCTCTCTCCCTCTTCCGCCTCCCTCTTTTCCGCTTCCCACCCAACCCCCTCCTTTAAACAGTCGAGTGATTGAGCAGTCGAGTTAGTTGAGCAGTCAATGTGCGGGACTGTGGGTGCAACGGAGAGGGTGACACGTCAGCAACAGGCGGATGGTGATGCCAGCAAACTATGTCAGCAGGGAGAGAAGGTGATGTCAGCAGGGAGAGAAGGTGATGTCAGCAAGGAGAGAAGGTGATGTCAGCAAGGAGAGAAGGTGATGTCAGCAAGGAGAGAAGGTGATGTCAGCAGGGAGAGAAAAGGACGTCAGCAGGAGGAGACGGTATGTCAGCAGGGAGAGAAGGTATGTCAGTAGAGGTTAGTTAGTAGGACACAGAAGGGATTGCTCGAACGCTAAAACAGCGTGGCGGCAAACGGAACTTCAAGTTAGGCTGTCTTGGCGAGGCACTTTTAAGGTGCCCTCGAGACACAATCTGCGACCAGACGAACCATAAATGGAGAGATAAGGATGAGAGAGGCCGGCTTAGAGAGCACCAAGTTCCTCCGAAGCAGCAATGATGGAGGCCGGCGATCAGTGGAGAGGTTTCTTGGGAGGAGGGCGAGGTAGGAAAGAGGAGGATTTGAAAGAGGAGGAAAGGGGAGGGGACCTGAGGACTTGAGCACGGGGATTCCTGGGCTTGGCTTGTCCTTGGGGAGGACAGGTCAAGATCGTGAGTTGTCTCGCTGGCTGCCTGGCTGTCTGCCTGGCTGTCTGTCTGTCTGGCTGGCTGTCTGGCTCTCTACAATCTAGTGCGGGCTGATTGGACGACGAACGGTGAATGGTGGTGGTGGTGGTGGTGAGGCCGTGGATGGTGTCTGATCCGAGTGTTTCAAATGGAGGTCAGCAGCAGCGGGTTACTACAAGTGCTGTGGAGAGAGGGTGGATTTGCCACCCTGTATGGATAGAGGTTGGGTGAGACTGTGGGGCAGATGGAGAGAGGTGAAGATGGCAGGGACATCAGGTGCAGAGATTCGATAAGGAGGTACGGTGGAGAGGTTCGGCAGGAGGCTTGGAGGAAAGATCCGATGGAAGGTAAAAATTATCATCTGCCTGATCTGCAACAGGTGCGGCCGTTCCGTTCGTTAACAGGCAGATGACAGGTGTGCTGCTGACTGATGGTGTGTTCCTGAACTGATAAGAAACACAGAACCACATTGCCGACTCGCTCGATCCCGCGTTGAAAAGGGGTTTCACAGGAAGGGCCAGACAGAAGCTCATCCCCTCCTTGCTCCTTATTTGTGACGCCCCAGAAGCAGCTTCAAGAACGGCTTGATTCCCCGCTCCAGCCATCTTTGGAAGCACCGTAAAGAATAAAAGAATAATCATTCTTGAACTTGGAAGCAGCTGCAAAAGGAACCTCATTGCCGGCTCGATCCACCTGCAATCAGAGAGGAGAGATAGAGGGAGAGGGCAATAACGGGGGGGGGGGGGAGGTGGGGAGAGGGGGGGAGAAGCTAAGGGCGTGCAGTGCTGAGTCGCACACAACTGAGGTTTCAATGCTAATTGCGGACGAACATGTGGGGGGAGCAATGACTCACTGCCTGGATAATGGGGGGAGAAAGTAACGGTGAGCGGGAGGAAGGAAGCGAGGAAGAGAGGAAGATAGGAAGGAGAGGTGGGGGAGCAGAGACAGAACGCCAGATGGATGAGGCACTTTTGAGTTGACTCAGTGGTCAACAGGGGTGAGCAGTGAGCAGTGAGCAGTGAGCACAGAACACAGAGCACGGCGCTTACCAGTGGCAGCATTCGAGGCAGCAACAGAGCGCCAGATGGACGAGGCACTTCGCTCCATGACCTCCCTTGCCTCGTCTGCCGACTGATGCACGCGGGAGAGAGAGGGAGAGAGGGAAGAAGGGAGCAACACGGCAAGAGAGAAACACGGAGGTGGGTGAGTTGGGAGATGCATGCGTGGGAGGATGGGACACTGCGCTGCGCTGCGCTCACGAGACTTTGACCTCCCTTGCCTCGTCCGCAGACTGATGCGTGCACAAGAGAGAGCGAGTAACAAGGAGGCGAGTGAGGAAAAGAGGGCGGAGTGAGGGAGCAAAGGAGCGGGGACGTGGAGGGATGTGAGCTGCTGTTGAAAGGTGTGGAAAACTGGCTCAGAATAATATAAGAGTCTGGTGTCATCAATAGCATGGATACAATAATTCTCACCCCAAATGCCTCTCACCGCCCGCCCACTGCCCCTCACCCTGCCCCCACTGCCTCTCACCCCCCACAGCACCTCACACAGTCCTTCCCCACTTCCCCCCTCATTGCGTCTCACCCCGCACTGCTGCAGCAGCTGCTGCCTCTTGGGCAGCGCCCACCCCCACAGCAGCGACGCCACGTTCACAGCGCGCGACATCTGCCGGCTGTCCATGCGCCCTGGCGGTTCACGGGGAATGGGGGGAAGGGGAAGGGGCAGTGGTGAGGAAGAGGGGGAGAGGGAGAAGGGGAGCGGGTGGGGAGGGAAGACGCCACGTTCACAGCACGCGACATCTGCCGGCTGTCCATGCGCCCTGGTGGTGCATTTGGGGGGGTAGGGGGATGGGGACACGGAGAGGAGAATGGGGGAGAAGGAGTGGGGGGGTGAGGGAGAGGAAAAGGAGCCACGTTCATGCTGTCGGCTGTCCATGCGCACTGGTGGGGGGGGCACGGGGGAACGCGGGAGTAAGGAAGGGGAGAGAGGGGGAGCAGCAGGGGCGGGAGGTGGTGAGGGAGAAAAGCGAGCCACACCCACAGAGCGCGACAGGTCACAGCCGCCAGCTGTGCATGCGCCCTGGTGCATGGGGGTACGGCGTGTGAGGGTTTGCCGAGGGAGTGAGGGGGGAGTAGGAGGGGGAGTGGGGAGGGGGAGTGGGGAGGGGGAGTGGGGAGGGGGAGTGCGGAGGGGGAGTGGGGAGGGAGAGTGGGGAGAGGGACAAGAAGCCACGTTCACATCACAGCACACGGCATCTGTCTATACTCCATGCGTCCATACACCCAACTCACTCGGCTCGCGCCAACAGCTGCGCCCCCAGCACAGCACAGCGCAGCACAGCACAGCACAGCACAGCACAGCACAGCACAGGCGCGTCCACGCCCAGCCGCTTGCCCCCCGAGCAGCACTGTGTGCGTGCGTGGCAGCAATACACACGGGGAGCAACAGCAGCACCAGCGACTTTCTTCTCACCAGCCAACCAACCAGCTAACTCACACTGCTCGGCTAGCGTCAGCAGCTGCGCCACCAGCACAGCACCGGAGTGTGCACGCCCGAATACTCCCCTCTCCACCCACCTTGCGACTGCACACAAGCACCCTCGCTACCAGCACCATCACTGCCGTCCCAACTCACATTGCTCGGCCAGAGTGAGAAGCTGCGCCACCAGCACAGGCGCGTCCACGCCCTGCCACTTGCCCCCGTGCACGTGCGCAGCAGCGATGCGCGCCGACAGCGAGAGCACGAGCGACACCCGCTCCTCGTCCAGGGGGTAGATGACCTCAAGCAGTGCGGCTGCCGGGTCGTCTGCTGGCAGGTGCTTGCACAGCCCCCTGGCACCCCAGTCAAAGACGGCGAGGGAGAGCGAATCAGATGACTCCCCGTTCTCATCTATGCCCTGCGGGGCGGAGGAAAAGGGGGAGGGGGAGGGGGAGGGGCAGGGGGCAAAGGGCAGCAGCAAAGAAAAGGAACTTCAGTCAAACACGGCCAGGGAGAGCGCGTCTGACGACTCCCCGTTCTCGTCTATGCCCTGTGGAGGGGATGGGGACAGGGATGGGGAGAGGGAGAGGGAGGAGAGGGAAAGGGGATGGGGCAGGAACGACAGCAGCAAAGAGAAGGGACCCCAGTCAAACACTGCTACAGAGTGTGCGTCTGATCACTCTTCGTCCTCGTCTATGCCGAGAGAGGGGAGAGGGGAGTGAGGAGGAGAGAGTGAGAGGGGAGGGGATGGGGAGGGGATGGGGAGGGGAGAGGGGAGGCGAAGAGGTGTAGATTGCAGGAAAGGCAATGCAAGGGGAGGGAAGAAAAGAAATCAAAAGGTTTAGAATTCCATGTCACGCCATGTCCTCGCCCTTCTTTCCTCTCCTTGACCCAGCACCCAGCCTACCTTATACGTGTGCATGACCGATTTGACTTGCATTGACTCCAGGAGCACCGGCAGGCGCTTCCTCTCGCCTTCCACCAGCCGCCCCACTCGCAGCCACACGCCCCACCCCAGCGCCGCCTGCGGCGCAGCCATCTCCTCTATCACCTCTATCGCCCTCTCCTCCCCCTGCTCTATCGGCACCATCGCCCCAGACAGCGCGTTCGAAAGCCCCCGTCCCAGCCATCTGTTCAGGGTCACTTGGGCCAACAGCTCCTGTTCTAATGTCTCAAGAGCCGCTCTCCCTCCCCCTCCATCCCCCCCTCCTGCTCCTCCTCCTCCTGCTCCGCTCGCTCCTCCTGCTCCGCCCGCTCCTGCTCCTCCCATACCCCCCGGTCCCGCACGCACGCCCACAGCGGCAGCTCGCAGATTCATCCGGAGGAAGTTCAGAGTCACCTCATACGCCCACGGGTGGTGTCGCCGTGCCGCCTTCCCTCGCAGCAACGCATCCGCAAACATGCCGATGTAAACAGACGCCGGCGGCGGCGACGGCGGCGGCGGCAGCAGCGCCACATCCACCCCAGCCGCCGTCGCAACCGCCGCGGTTACCGCCGTAACCGTCGCCGCAGCTGCCGCAGCAGGAGGAGCGAGAGCCGCGGCTTTCACAGTCGTAGCTAGCCGCGCGAACCTCGCGCTGAACGTCTCCGTTCCCCCGCTCGCAAACACCATCCTTAGCACCTGCTTAAACTGCACCACCGTCAGCCTCCCAGACGACACCGCCCGCAACCCCAGGTGAAACGCCGGCTCGTGCAAACTCATCCGTGTTAAATGCGCCGCCAATGCTAGTATATCCTCCGGGTGCAAGTGCCGCAGCTCCCGGGCTTCTGCTGAGAGGTTTGAGGCGAGGAGACCGGGGCCGAGGTCGAAGGAGTAGTAGAGACGGTCTATTTCTTGGCAGCGCTCGGCCAGGTTGCTGTGCTTGGCGCGTGCGATGCCTTCCGCGAGAGTGGTTTCCGCAAGAGTGGAGAGCGGAGGGGGCGACCAGACGGGCGGAAGGCCGTCAGCGCTGCTGTCCTCCTCATCCTCATTGTCTTCCTCATCCTCGTCCTCTCCGTCCTCCCCCCCCTCATTCTCGCTCTCCTCACTGTCAGTGCCTTCAGCCGAGTCATCTGATTCCTCCTCCTCTCCACTATTGTTGGGGTGGTTGCCGCTGCTGTTTGTGCGATTAGCGTTGGGATTTCCACTTGCGTCACCAACAGCACCACCAGCAGCATCGGCATCACCACCCACATGAAAAATGCCAATCATTGCACCACTAGAAACTCCCCCCCCTTCATCCTTCCCACCCATCCCTCCCTTTCCCATCCTCTCCTTCTTCCTCCTCGTCTTCTTCTTCTCCTTCTTCCCCTTCATCCCTCCTTTTCCAACCCCTCCTCCTTGCCCCCCACCACTTACCCCCACCCCTCCCGCCGCCGCCGCCGCAGCAGCAGCAGCAGCAGCAGCCTTGGTCGCAACAGCGGCACCCCGAATGGCCAATGGCCCTGCTCTGTCAAAGCACCCGGTGATAACCGCCCTGAGACACCTACTCACAAAGACACGGCACGCAGACAGATGGGGGGCTGGCAGCAGGTCCAACCAGGCGGGAAGACCTGGGACAGTGGGTGGGGGAGCATGGCGGGTGGCAGGAGGAGGGTGCGGAGAGGGAGGCGGGCCGGCAGCAGCGGCGTTACTGTTGCGTCCAGTCGGGGAGGTAGGAGCAGAGTAAGCACCAGCACCACCACCAGGAGCACCAGCAGCAGCACCAGCAGCGTTAGCAGTGGCAGTAGGGTTGCGCATACGGAACTGGTCTGGGTGGTGCTGTGGGGTGGCAATGGGAGCGGGAGGAGCAGCGCGAAACCCAGCAGAGGTAGCAGGCCTCTGCTGCTGCTGCGGCTGCTGCTGCGGCTGCTGCGGCTGCTGCTGCTGCCCCCCCCAAAACGAACTAACCGGGGAGGGAGGAATCGGGGACAGCGGGGCATTGGGGGCGCGATGAGACTGCGAACCTACTGACCCTGCTCCACCAGGAGCAGCAGTGGAGGGGCGCGGGATGGAGGGCGAGGAGGAGAAGGAGGAGGAGGAAGCAGAGGAGGTATCTCGCCAGGACGTTGCATCACGCCACGGATTCCACACAGAGGACGAGTGCGTGGGAGAGGTGGGGGTGCTTGCTCCCGGACTGCTCATGCTGCTGCTGCCTGCCCCTACAGACGCTGCCCCTGCTGCTGCCCCTGCTGCTGCTGCTGCGGCTGCTGCTGCTGTTGCTGCTGGTAGCTTTTCCAAACCCAGGAGCGAGCCGCCTGAAGCTGAAAAACGACATGGGGGTTTCAGGAGCAGGAGCAGGAGCAGGGGCAGGGGCAGGAGGAGGAGGAGCAGGGGCGGGGGCAGGGGCGAGAGCTATGGGCGATGGTGGTGCTGTGGCAGGAGTGGCTTGAAGCAGGGGAGTGCTTGGTCGGCCGCTAGGAGGAGGGGACGAGCCTCCTGCTGCCGCTGCTGCTGCTGCCACCCCAGCTGCAGCAGCAGCAACCATACCTGCAGCTGCAGCAGCCAGCGAGGTTGCCGAAGCTGACCGCACCACGTTCGGGCCCGCCGTAGCAGGCCTGGCTGCCAAACCTGCAGCGTCGGCAGATACGCTCTTCGGAACCCCTGCCGCCACCCTCGCTGCTGCTGCTGCTCCGCGGCTGAAGCCGCTGCCGACGCTGCAGCAGCAGCTGCAGCAGACGCAGACTCCAGAAACGCCAGTCTGTCTAACAAATGAAGGAGACACATAGCAGCAGTGGAAGGTTGCCAGGAGGCTATAGACGCAGCCAGGCCCACAAACAACAGCACCTCGTCTTGATGACACGTGGCCGCTTGCAAATGCCCTCCTGCTAGCGCCTCTGTTGCTAGCCTTAGCTGAAGGGACCCTTGGGGGCCCCACCTCGATCCCGGATACTTGGGAGACGGGAGAGATGCTGCTGCTGCTGCTGCTGAAGGGGACACAAACCCTCTTCCTCCACCCGGCCCTCCTCCTCCTCCCCCCCTTGCTCCTCCCACACCCATGCCTCCCCCAGGTGACCCTGCTAATGCTGCTGCTTGCGCAGCTTCTGCTGCTGCTGCCACAGCAGCTGCTGTCGGGGAGAGGTCCGCAAAGCTAGCAGCAGAAGCACCACCAGGGCTGGAAACAGAAAGCGGGGGACGAGGAGGGGTGCCATGCCTTCTCAAGCTCCTACTCGATCCATCCCCCCCTCCTCCTCCTCCCCTCGCCTCACACCCACCCTCCTCAACCCAAACTCCCCCTCCCTCCTCCTCCATCTCCTCCTCCTCATCCTCCTCTTCCTCCTCATCCCCCTCCTCCACCACCTCCTCTATCCCCAACCTCTCTTCTTCCACTCTCATCCCTTCAATCTCCGCGGCCCAGTCCGGTCTATCCTCCCCCCACTGCTGCCAGTACCTCAGCCACACAGCCAAGCCCGTCGGAAGCACCCTCTCCGCTTGCCCCCGGGAGAGCTTCTCCGCTTCTGAAGCTGTGCTGTGGAACTTTCGCTTCACTCCTTCAAACTCCCGTAAAGCGGCAGCGACAGACCAGTCTCGGGCGGATTTCCTGTGGGCCATTCTTGCCACAGGCACAGCGCTATCCAGCCAGTCAGACACGTCTAGAGAGCTCACTTCCTCCGAATCACCTGTTCCTCCTGTCCCTCTTCCCTCCCTTCCCACCCTCTCCTCCTCCTGGGCCGCCTCTCCTGCTGTTTCCCCCACTCCTCCAAACACCAAAGCCCTTGGGTCATCCCCCTCGTCCTCCTCCTCCCCATCCTCCTCCTCCCCATCCTCCTCCTCCCCATCCTCCTCGCTCCCCTCCCACCCCTCACTCCCTCCCCCCGCCAGCCTCCTTCTAAGCATCTTCTCCCTCCTCCTCCTCACCTCCGCCTTCTCCGCACTGCTACCCACCGACAACCTTACAACTTCATCTAAATACTTAGCAAAGAGCCACGACCAGTGGCTCCTCCCCTCCTGCGCCTCTGCCCGAGCTTTCGCAATCACGCCAAACTCCCTATAAGCATACCTGCTGGCGCGTACAGAGCTGCACGTCTGCCCGATTTCCGGCCGGCGGAGCGTGGAGAGGGAACGAACAAACATCATTTCGTCTGGAAGAGAATCGCTCTCCTCCTCCTCTTCCTCCTCCTCCTCCTCCTCCTCCTCCTCTTCCTCATCCCCCTCCCCCTCCTCCTCCCCCTCCCCACCATCCCTTCTGCCCACCTCTCTCCCCTCCTCCCCTACCCCTCCCCGCACACCCGCCGCTCTCTCCTCCCCCTCCCCCTCCCCCCTCCCCCTCCGCCCCTCGCCCAATCACCCCCCTCTTCCCCCTCTTCCAGTATCCTCTGCGCTTCCGCCCTCCGCCTCCTCAGCTCCTCCAACTCCTCTTCTATCTCCTCCTCTAATTCCTCATCTAGTGACGACCCAAACTCACTCGCCTCTAGCTCCTCTCCATACTCTTCCGATCCAAACTCCTCCGTTCCAAATTCCTCTTCTCCTTCCCCGAATGCTCCCTCCTCTAATACCCCCCCCTCACCATCAACATCACCACTAACACCACCGCTTATATCACCACTGATCTCCCCACTAGCATCACCCTCGTCATCAGCATCATCACCACGACACACGGTGAAAACCTGACTGTCTGCTCCATATCTCCCCATCACCTCCCCCTCTCCTGCTCCATACCCATCCATATCCACATACCCCTCCCCGTGTTCCCCGTCCCTTTCCTCGTCCACCTCCTCCTCCACCTCCTCCTCCTCCTCCTCCTCCTCCTCTCCCTCCTCACCGCTTACCCCGTGCGCCCATTCCGCCTCTGCTACTGCGTATCGGTTCAAGGACATGCCTCGAAGCCCCTCACGTCTCTCCAGCTCAAATCCCGACTCATCATCACCACCCCACGCCCCCTTCCCTCCATCCCTCCTCCCTCCTTCCCTCTTCCCCATTCCCATTCCCATTGCCACTCCCGCTCTCCCCACTCCCTCGCCCTCCCATCTCTCGCTCCCCCCTATCCGCCCCCTCCCCCCGAACCCCCTCACACCTACATTCCTCCTCCCGCGCTCGTCCATCCTACCACTTCTCACGCCTCCTCTCACCACACCTCCCCCAATCTCTCTCTCATCAGCCCACTCATCTTCACTCCCATCCCACCCATTTCCACGTCCTTCCCACGCTCCCCTTCCCCCTCTCTCCCTGAATCTCTCCCCATCCCCTCGTCTCAACCCACCTGCTTCCTTATACCCTCTCTCCCTCACAAACCCTCGCTCTTCACTCTCCTCCACATAACCCTCCTCTGCGAATCTCTCACTCCCAAACCTCTCCCTGCCTCTGTACCTCCCGCCACAAATCTCCTCACCACTCTGCTCCCTCTGACTCCTCCGCCCATACTCACCAGCCGAGGGAGACGGTTCAGGCTTATATCCCGGTTCAGGAGCATACCCTACAGACGAAGCCCGCATGTGAGAAACAGGAGGGTGAGCGTGGGAGTAACCAGGCCGCGAATGGGGATGGGGATGTGGGTTGGAATGGGGATGAGGATGGGGATGGGGGTGCACGGCCCGAGAGGATAGGGAGCGGGAGGTCGGGAAGAAGGGCGAGGAGGAACGGGCAGGTGGGGGGGATGGATGGAGGGTGCGGTCTGGTGCAGTGGGGCTGAGAGTGGTACTGGGAGGTGAGGCAGCAGTAGCAGGAGGGATGGAAGAATCAGCTGGGGTAGAGCTGGGAGTAGTGACTGTAGGAGGCAAATATTGATTCTTGCTTCCTTTTGTTAAGTCTGCAAGATGGGAGGTTTGCGCAATAGTTTGGCTTGATGGTTGTGCAGTGGGCGACACAGCAGCAACGCCAGCAGCACCGCTGCCGCTGCCGCTGCCGCTGCCGCTGCCACTGCCGCTGTTGCTGCCGCTGCCGCTGCTGCCACTGTTGCTGCTGATACCATTAACAGTGCTGCTGCTGCTGCTGCCGCCACTGCTGCTGCTGCTGCTGCTGCTGCCAACGCCAAACCAGCGAGGCCCAAGCAACCCCGTCGCACCAGCAACATCAGCCCCCCCAACAGCACACGCATTTCTGCGCACACTCAAACCACCATTGCCGCCGCTGCTGCCGCCGCTGCTGCCGCCTCCACTGCCGCCACGACTGCTGCTGCGGGGAAACCTAATGCTGCTATCCCTACCCTCTCGTGCCCTTCCCAGCCCTCCCTCTTCTCTCTCTTCATCCCTTCCCTCACCTCCGTCCTCTCCCTCTCCCTCCCTCTCTCCGATCGACCCCAGGCGCCGGTGACTA